AAGAGAAGGGTTAGTCGCTGACATGTGGGGCCCACGTGGGTTCTAAGCTGACTTAGCTGCCACGTCGCACAAAACTGGGTCAAAATCACCTAAGGACCAAAAGTGATACGGTTTTATAAGTTAAGGGATGACAATGATAAAATGAGGGACCTTGGATGTACTTTTTCATTTGCTGTTTAATAGTCCTTGACACTTTGGTATGGGCCTAAAGTAGGTTTCCAAAGCAGGCCTAGTGCTTGACTATACGAGACAATCGTTAGTTCCATACGTCACACCAGATAAATGGGAGTAAAATTGCTAACTGTTGATATGTTTTATCTTACTATATGTTCAACAACAATACATAATTATGGGAAACATATTATATGCACATAAGTTTTCTGTGCACACCAACAAATAAATATCACGTAAAATTCTAGAAAAAAATAAAATGTACTTTCAATAGTGCTATTTGGTAAAATCTAAACCGAGAGCGCTCTCAGATTAATATTAAAGAGCGACGCATCCGTGAGAGAGGGTTCACTTGCAACTAGTACACCTACGTGAGAGATGGTCTAGTTGTTTACTACTGCATAAAGTGTATCTCTTTTTTTTCTTGTTATGGACTTTTCTCTTAAAATATTTATTCAATCTACAATCTAATTACACTATTATGTTTGTTGTAATTAAATCTTTATAACAAGATTTTACATGATTATATTATAATAAAAAATATTTATGTTGTAAATTACTTTTATCATATATGTAAGTTACTTTTATCATACATATAAATTACTTTTAGATTTGATTAAGTTACGTTTTAGACATTCAGTGAACAATATATATACTTTACTTTATCGTTAGTTCTATGATATGTTGATTAGATTTAATTTCTAGATAAACTTAGGTTTTTACCCTCTATAATAGATTTACTTTTGATATCGTGACAAGTTATTTTTTTAAGTTACTTATATTAAATTACATTACTATTTATTGAACTTACTTTTATATGTCTAAGAAGTAATTTAATGAAATCTAAAAAGTAATTTAATGAAATCTAAAAGTAATTTAGATATATTATAAAAGTAAATTGTATTTTTCATAAAAAATATAAGGCAAATTTTGCTACAGGACATCGCGACTTTGTGGTTTTAGCTCCAGGACACCGCACGAAGTTACTTTTAGGGAAAAACACTCTCAAAACATGGCTATTTGCCAGTGGACACCGCGTCTATTAAAATAATAATTTCTGGTTGAAGAGAAGAGAGAAATCGTGTGAAATATTAAAAATACCCTTGAACCCATATGTCATCTCTCTTATCTCTCTTCTCTTTTTCTCCCTCTCCCCTCACCGACAGCAGCTAGCCGGCAGCGGCGGTAGCAACAACAGCGGCAGTAGCAGCAGTAAACGGCAGCGGCAGCAGCAGCTGGCAGCGGCGGCAGCAACAGCAGCGGCGGCAGCAGCAGTAGCAGCCCCAGTAGCAAGCAGCAGCGGCGGCAGCAAGAGCGCCAGCAGCTAGCCGGCAACGGCGGCAGCAACAGCAGCGGCAGTAGCAGCCCGCTCCACGCAATATTCAACGGGATTTGCACGGATTGGTTAGAGTTCGCCGGAAAAATAGGAGATGAAATCCGCTTCGAATCCACGCAATATTCAAAGGGATTTGCTCCAATTCTTGAGGGGAATGAAAGAGGAGGATAAGACGAAGAAATCCCCTCAATCAATGTTTGAAACGAGCAACGGGATTGGCCGAATTTGGAGGGGGAGGTGGCGGTGTGGCGCACGGGCATGAGAGCTGGAGGTTGAAGACGTTCAGTAGCGCGAGGGAGGGAAATTAGACTTTAGATGTGCAGGGCAATTTGGTCCGGTCGCGTCAAAATATGGGCCCACTCAAGCCTAGTCAGCACGAATACACTAAACAAATGGGCGCGGTGTCCTCTGGCAAATAGCCATGTTTTAGGAGTGTCTTCCCCCAAAACTCACTTCGTGCGGTGTCCTGGAGCTAATTTCACAAAGTCGCGATGTCCTGTAGTAAAAGTTGCCAAAATATAATCATGTGAGATCTTGTTGTAAAGATTTAATTGTTACGAACATAACGGTGTAATCGGATCATAAATCGGATGAGTGATTTAAGAGAAAATTCTATAAGAAGAAAAAAAACATGCACTGTTGGGTGTACTAGTAGCAACAAGAGAGGTCGCTGGTTAAGACAATCTAGCTTACATCTCGTTGTAGTCATGTCCTATTTATATCTATGAAATCTCATGTTTAAATTCATTATATTTTAGCCGTATAGAAGGTAAAATTCTGACAAAATTTTGTTATGGCAAGAATATAACAAATTTAAATATAAGAATTTACAAACTTTTACTTTTATAACTATCAGATTTTTCATTTTTATGGCAAGAATATAACAAATTTGAATATAAGAATTTTGTTACATCTAACATGCATTGAATTTGAACATGAGATTTCATAGATATGCATAATACTATTAAAAGTACATGTCAGATTTTTTAGAATTTTTCATGATATTTGCTAGTTGGTGTGCACAGAGTGCTCACGAGAGAAACTTGTGTGCATAGATATGTTTCCGGTTATATGTTCGGTTATATGTTGCTGAGTTAATTGCTAGAGATCCTGACACGAGATTTCGTTGTTACAAGGTTATTGGTTGGACTGCTAGCCAGTTTTTAGATATCTGATGCATGCATACATAGAGGAGAAAGTTTATTTGTTACTCAAGGTCAAGGGGACGTCCCCCTTCATTTTACATTTGGTCCTATAGTTTGAATCAAATAATTTCTTGTTAATCCAGTATTATAACCGGTCATAACATACGGTTGCGATTGTTGCTGCTTGGGGGATATGTCGAAAAGTTATGTTTTTATTGATAATTGTTGGTAGCGTGAAAGATTGAAAAAGCCGTCAGGTGTGCTCATCAATTAGATTAATTGAACATCAAAGGGCCATGATGTTCGGCCACCTGTCCATTCCCTGCAACAACTGAAGTACTGAACTGACCCCTTTTCTTCTACTTTGTGTTCATCGACTCCTGTAACATAGCTCAATGTTGAAGGTTTTCCGTTCTGTAAACTGCAAATTTCAAGAAACCAAGAGTATGACCATTAATTGCAATATTCAGAAATTTCTTTCAGTTGTTGAAACGTTGTACGATGAAAAAGAAAAAAAAACATTGTAAGAACAAATATTCCATTGGAGTTCGAATAGTATTACACTTGAAAGTTCAGGATTTTAGGATATCTGGATCACTGTTTATATATTCAGTACTACTAGTTGGGAAAGCATTAGCACTATGCCTATATAATACATCCCATTCCAACTGATAAAAATCGACAGGTGAGACCTTTGCTTCCATGGAAGCTAGCATCAGGTCAGCAAAAAACAAATGACGCCACCTGCCATCTGTTAGCCAGCCTACCTCATCAACCATCCACGGGTCATTTCTCCCTCCATATCCAACACACATTTTTGTGCATGCTGCCATCCCAAGCTTTCTCATTTTCTCAGATCATGACGCATATCTATTTTTTTGATAGTGGAATTCTTTTCAGAAGCTATAGCCAATTATTATAGAGTTTACGGGACGGATAACTACAAATTACATAATTCAAGACAAGAAGACAACCATAAAGATACAAATCTTCATCTATGGTTGATTAGAGTATGCATAACCTACCAACAACTTTTAAGTTGTACTTAGTCTTTGCGAATGGCATATAGTCTAGTGGTTGCAATGACCTGAGTAGCTCCCTAAGATTCTGAGTTTAAATCTCCATAGAAGCAAATTTTAGATTGGTTTGTTTGAAGGGGCTAAGTTCCTAATTAAGGATGTGTTCTTTCCGGTGAGTTCCCAACTCACCTACCTCGTTTTTCGCGCACATGTTTTTCAAACTATTAAACGGTGTGTGTTTTTGCACAAGTTTTCTAAACGAAAGTTGCTTTAAAAAACATATTAATCCATTTATCCATTTTTCAAAAAATAGTAAATACTTAATTAATCATAAGAAAATATGTCGGCTCCGTTTTACGTGTGCGGTCTCACCTCCCAAACACAGCCTTAAAAGGTTCCATAGGTGCAGATTTCAGATTGGGTTGTTTGATGGGCTAAGTTGTCAATATAAAAGGCTGTGTATATTCGGTTGGATATAGAGGCCGGGTAAAAAATTCTCTTAAAAAAAAAGTTGTGTTTAGTCTTTATTTTTCTCAAACCAGAAAAGTGGAATCTAAGAAATCAGCGAACACATATAGGCATATAGCTGATGTAAAACACGGCTCACAACGATCATCATCAGCTCGTCACATCACAATCTCACAATTCTCTCAGGATTGGCTCAAACACGGCCCAGCAAAAGTACAGCATAGTGACATGCTTCCGGCTGGGCGTACATATATACGATCTGAACTCTGAAGTCTGATCTGCAACTGAGAAGAAACCAATGCAAAAAACAAAAAACAAAAAAAGAAAGAAAGAAAAAGCTAGCTACTAGCCTACTACTACCTAATGGTTAAAATCAAGAACTCTTTGAAGCAAAGTGAGACGAGACGAGACGAGCTACTGAACTGAACCATCGGCAGAAGTGTGTAGTTTGGTGAGCTACTAGTGTCACAGCGTGACAGTGTTAGGCTTTACCAGAAGTGATGAGCCATCCAGCAGCCAGCAGTGACCATATTATTCTCCTCAAACGTCCACCAAACACTGCAATTTCAATAACACGTAACCGGTCGATCGCAAGTACTCCCTCTGTTAAAAAAAACAAACACTGATTTTCGTGTCTAATGTTTGACCGTCCATCTTATTTAAAAAAATTAAAAAGACAAGTCACGTATAAAATATTAATCATGTTTTATCATCTAACAACAATAAAAATACGAATTATAAAAAAATTTCATATAAAACGGACAGTCAAAGTTGAACACGGAAACTTAGGATTTGTCTTTTTTTTTTTTTGGACGGAAGGACGCACGCACAAATCCTTCAAAAAGCTGGCTGTGGCTGCCGGCATTTTATCGTCGTCATCGTCCACACGTACGGTGAGTCGAGTGAGCTAGCCATAGCTAGCTATGAAGAAGGCGGCCGCCGGCGGCATGGCGCCTCTTCCTCCGTCGTCGTCTCCTCCGTCGTGCAAAGCCGGCGGTGGTGGTGGCAGCCCGAGGTGGTCGTTGCTTCACGGCGGCGGCGGCGAGTGGGGCGTCGTGGTGCGGCGGAACGTCGTCAAGTCGTCGTCGCTGCTGCTGCTGGTGTTCTCCACCTTCTTCGTCTTCTCCGTCTTGCGCTCGTCGCAGACGAGCTTAGTCCCGCCGCCGCCGCCGGCTGCTGCCGGCCCCGGCGAGCCGGCGCTGGCGCAGAGTGGTCACGACGTTGCCGGCGATGATGGCGGCGAACATGTCGCCGTCGCAGTCAACAATGTGGCAGCTGAGACGCAGAGCACGCCGGATGACATCTCGCTGCCGTCGACGAACTCATCGGCTGCAGCTGTTCCAACAACAACAAACAAAGCTGAACAACAACAAACAGGTGATCCTGGTAGGTGCATTTCAATAGTGTATTCATTATTTTGAAGCAATAAACACTAAGATAAATTCTTTGTAAGCAGTGGTAGAGCCAAAAAGTATCGAAGCCTAAAGCTCGAATAGGACTCAACTAATGAGATATTATTTTTTTTCAAAAAATATACATGATGATTTAAGAGAATTTAAACGTCAAGCCAAGCTATCCTAGGTTTGCCTCCCCTTCTAGATGTAAAACCACATAAATCTTGATGCATATTCTCTCGTTTCTTACATGTCACAACTTCTCGTTATTTCGAGGGTTAAACTTTTTGGTTTAGCCGATTTAATCAGATGTCACCGAAAAATTAGAAATTTCGGTCCAAAATTTTAAACAAAATTCAATTGAATTTGAACAAATATTACTAAAATTTATGAAAAAAATTGAAAATTTTTGGCCGAAGTAATATCGTATCGGAGTGGTCCAAAATTACCGAAATCAGTCCGAAAATTCCAACCATGGTTATTTGGACGCGGTTGGTAAATAACTAAATAAGGGATCAAAGTAAATTTTTACCACGACAAATGTGAGGCATTTAACTTTGTGATGTTTGATGTGTGCTCTGGATAATGGCAGGAGCGAACAACATGGAGGAGAAATGCGACATGTCGATGGGGAAGTGGGTGAGGGAGCCCAAGGGCCCGGTGTACACCAACACGACGTGCCCGACGCTGCCGGACTTCAAGAACTGCCAGAAGCACGGCAAGGATCCCGGCCACCTCTACTGGCGGTGGCAGCCCCACGGCTGCGACCTCCCGCGCTTCTCGCCGGACCGCTTCCTCGCCGCCGTCCGTGGCAAGCGCCTCGCCTTCATCGGCGACTCGCTGGCTCGCAACCAGATGGACTCCCTTCTCTGCCTCCTCTCTCAGGTATATCATCGCACAGGATTTGAAATTTCGGTAATTTCGCCCCCACCGGTATGCTCAAATCTCGCCCGAAATTTTCGGCTTTTTACAAATTTTTGTGAATCTGGTCAAATTTTATTCAAATTCAGTCAAATTTTCAAATAATTTCGGCCAGAAACTTCTGAAATTTCGGTAATTTTGGTCACCCCCGACATAAAATCCAATTTCAAAATTGAAAACTATGTCATTGCACCGGCTAGCTTCCAATGTCTTAGCAATGGCGGCTGCCACTGATTAATGGCCCGTGTCGTGTCTCGTGTCAGGCCGAGACGCCGACGGAGGTGTACCGCGACGCGCACGACAAGTTCCAGACGTGGCGGTTCGCGGCGCACGAGTTCACGCTGATGGTGATGTGGACGGAGTTCTACGTGCACGCGGAGCCGGTGGTGGGCGCCGACGGCAAGCCGACGCCGTCGTTCGACATCCACCTCGACAGGCTGAGCGCCAACTGGACGCGCCGCCTGCCGGAGCTCGACTACGCGGTCATCTCCGGCGGCAACTGGTTCAACCGCCCCAACTACCTCTGGGAGGGCGGCCGCCGCGTCGGCTGCGTCAAGTGCGGCGGCGCAGCCAACCTCACCGACGTTGGCGTCCCCTACGCCGTCCGCCGCGTGGTGCGCGCCGCTGTCGAGGGCATCGCGCGGTGCACCGGCTGCAAGGCCGGCCTCGTCGCGTTCCTCCGGACCTTCTCGCCGGACCACTTCGAGCACGGCGCGTGGTTCAGCGGCGGCTACTGCAACCGCACGCGGCCGCTGGAGGAGGACGAGGTGAGCCCGGACAGCGCCGCGTGGGAGCTGAGGAGGGTGCAGCGAGAGGAGGTGATGCGGGTGAAGGAGACGGCGGCGGCGGCGGCCGCGGCGAGCGGGAACGCGAGGAGGTTCGAGGTGCTCGACGTGACGAAGGCCATGATGCTGCGCGCCGACGGCCACCCCGGCGCGGCCATCGACAAGAGGTGGCAGAAGAACATCGTCAGCGACTGCCTCCACTGGTGCATGCCGGGCCCCGTCGACATGTGGAACGAGATGCTGCTCCAGAGGCTCACCGAGATCTCCACGCTGGACCAGGATGCTTCCATCTTTGAGGCACCTTAACTTTGTCACTTACATGTAGGTCCGGATCATTAATGTATCACTGCATACAATCATACGGGGAACGATGCATGACTGGTGATGCTATAGGGGAGGTCTTCCTATCCATTGAGAGGACGTGCATATCTCTCAAATGGTTATAAATTTTTTGAAAAACAATCTAGATCAATATATGATGTATCACTTTATAAATATGTAAATTAAAACAAAACGAACAACAAACAAGAGACTACCAATCCATCAGTTAGACGAATGTTTGCTACAAAAGGATCAGGTTTTTCAATGGCTAGGACTATTTTAAGATTAGTACTACTTCTATTACCTAATTACGTCCCCGATTAAATTGACACAAACATAAAGCTTTATATGCCATCACTTCCCTCCGGCTAATTCCCCTTAGGCCCTCACTTCCCTCCCCTCTCCCCCACTCTCGATCACTTTGCCAGAGCCGTCGTTGTTATTGTCTTTTCGATTTCTGATGTCATTCTCTCGACCCACGTCTCCTCCATCTCTATCGGATCGACGGTTACTGCCACCACCTCTTAACCACATGGTTTTTCCTTGCCCTGACCCCACCCACCGTCATCCTCAAATCCCTCCTTCCATTACCACCAACCTAAAAAACCTAATATAACAAAAGCTTTTTTAGTCCAAAAGTCGCCAAAAATGAGAGCTTGCCAATTAAGTCACCATCGACGTTTCTATTACCATAGTCACATGTGAGTACTTGCCATCTTTCTCCTCATCACTTGCTCTTGCTAGCCCTAGATCTTTAATCCAATGGTGTTCATCAATCGATTGATAAATAGCAAATCCCAACGAACAAATATGACCATGAACAATACATATATAGTTAGTGCAATTTCTTCTTTCTTTTAACTTGTATGTTTTTAATTTATCATAAAATTCATAATGATTTAGATAACATGGATGAAAAAAGGGGCATACCCTAGAGGGAAAAAACATCTCCTGATGCTTTGGTTTGGTGATGGTATGGTCAAAAGTTTTTTGGAAGAAAATTTAGTCCAAAGTTTTCAAAGTAAAAGGATGTTAAATATTGTCTTTACATAAGATGAAGATGCTAATTAAATTCCCCCACAGAAACTTATCATCTAAGGAAGGATCCATGAAAACTTATCATGACTATTTCAATGACTTGGCAAAATGAGGGATATCCTCGAGAGGAAAAACTCCACTTTCCTTCTTTAATCTCTATGAATGATGAACTACAGAAGTGAAAATAATTACTCGAGTAAAACAACAAGAAAGAGATCTACTCCCTCCCTCCGTTTTATATTATAAGACTTTCTAGCATTGCCCACATTCATATAGATGTTAATGAATTTAGACAAATCTAGATATTAGTTCTTGGTACGCCAGATATTCTATTGTGCACATGCAAATTGCAAGAGGCCGGATTTAGTCGTACAATGGAAGAACGGCCTAGATTTGGAGGAAACGTTTATTATTTCTCTGGTTTATATGGAAGAGAAAGAAAGGAATGTATTCAAGGCTTGATGATGCTTGTGCAATAGCAAAACAGGGATGAGTACAGCTACTCCATTTAATGCTATGGTTATCCCTCCAGGATGAAATGGATATCTTCTTATTTTGGACACACATAAATATATACCAAAAAAGTTATCTTTTTTTTTATCCTCATGGGTCATTGACCCTAAGAAGAAATTAAGGTCATATCCATAAACCTTACCAATGTCCTCACCAACAAGTGTTGTTAGCCTTAGCCATGGCACAGGCAAGTGGATGCTGCAACAACAACGTTCGGAGGCGGTCGAGGAGGAGAAGAAGAAGCAGCCATGGGCGGTGGGCAAGAACGCCGCGCTGTTCGCGTTCTTCGTCGTCGTGCTACCGACGATGATGATCCTGGCCGGCGTCAGCCACACGCCGCCGCCGGCGGCGGCGACGACGAGGCTCGGTTGGACGATGCTGGGTACCTTTACGGCACGAGGTATATATATCTCCCCCGGTATCTGTGTTCGATTTCACTGTCCACACCAACTCAAAAGTTATGGATTGTTTGGTTTAAGGAATAGAGTTTCTCTATCCGTTTTTCCACCTTGAATCAAAAGCTCTCTAATTGACCAGGATAATTTTAAACTTTGATCATTAATAAGTTCTAAATTAGCATATTTTCTTTAAGAAAAATTATATGGCTATGTTTAATGTGCAACATACTACTATAAGTTATAAAACCCAGTGCTTTGCTGTGAAAATAATGTATGAGTATATGTTCAATGTATTATAGAAATGATAATATTTGATTTTTTTAAACGATGTGAAGAAGATGGTTTGACATACTTGAATATTGAGCTCTTCAATATTATATTCCAGATGATATATCATCTTTCATGAGATTTAAGATGCTAGAATAGCGATAGTTAGTGGGTGATAATGTGGTATATTTAGCTTCTAATAAGTGGATAGCAATTATATAAAAAGTATAGATAATTTTCAAATGTTCACAATTACGTGGATAAATTAAAAGTAGTAACAGTTGAAATGTAAATAGTGTCTCATGACAAGTATTTAAAGAGGGGGTATACCATCTAATCTAGTTATACTGCCTTATGGTTGACATTGCTTTCTGTTTACATTTTAGAATTTGTCTTTGGATGGTTTGTTGTCAATTAACATCGCCCTTAATAGCTTAGATTGACTTCGGAACTAAAGTGGATCTATTAGATTCCTACGAGAAACTTAGAAAGGGGCATCACATTCAGTGCCAAGTTTAATGATTTAATTACCATATACCTCATTGATTGTACTATGAGTTCGTGTTACAATAGTGTAGATTGATCATTATAAGTATATAACAATATTCTTTTTTTTGAAATGGAACCAACCCATATAGTTCTATTTTCAACTAAATTTTGTGTAGTTATCGCCGCTCAATTTGTACAGAAAATTATACTAGCCATGTAACATATAAATGTATCAACATAAACACATAGCTATATTTGTGGATGTTTTCTAACAACAAAATCTGTTGTTGTTTGTCGCCAAGCCTTAAGGCTTTTTTTTTTTTGTGGGCGCGCGCGCCGTAAAAAAAAAAAGTCAACTTCACATCCCTCAGGTAGAGTTTTATTAACATATGTCTTAACTTTTAAAACCTAAACAAATTGAGTCCTTAGAAATATTGAGAATGATTTCGGATGAAGTAGCTCAGCGTCGGAGTAGGGACATGTGACAATTTGAGCTTGCTGAGGTGGGCGAGCGGATCGAGGGGCCTCCCCTTTCGCACCATCACAACAGGGTCAGCTTGACCTCGAGGACAGGATGTAGTCGGCGATGGCAGAGTGGATCATAGGGGCAATGATGGAGCGGGCGCGTGGTGGCCTTGTTGGCAGCAACGGCTTGGGAATAACTATTTGCCACTTTTAGATTTGACAATTAACTATTAACCACCCCTATCTACATGTGTCTATAATATGTGGATACACATGTGTCTATGACATGTAGGTCCAGTGACAAATAGTTAATTGCCACATTTAAAAGTGGCAAATAGTTAAATATATCTGGGAATCCGGGAGAAGGGGAGAGGATGCACGGTCTTTTGCTGACACGTGGGACCCACTATCTTTTTTTTTATTTCTTTTGGCTGACTAGGACGTCGCACATGACAAAACCACCATAAAAAATATACAAGGACGTAGGCTGATCGGGTTTTAGAAGTTAGGGGCACTTCGTACCCAGTCTTGGAATCGCGGTTGAGGACGCGTACGAAACTCGTTGAGGGACCATAAGTAGACTTTCTTTACCTCCGTGTATGTGTCCTGGGCCATAAAATCATCGATCTCACAGAATAAGTTCACTTTTGATCCCTCCTCCTCACGTCGAGTTTGAATCACATCCCTAATCCGTAAAACCAAGTACGACGCATCACTCATCTTTAGAAACCGATGCGAATGTAGTCCTAAGATAGTATTGAAGGTGGCTTTGCCCTTACATTCTATTTAGGATTAGGAATAGGTGTAATCAGACCTACTTTTGACATATCTATCATATCCTTATTTGGGTATCATATGCACCTCTTTGGGCTTCTATTGAATCGAGAAATTGGATTGTACATCTTTTTGATTTTTGATACATATAAGGTGTCCTACGGATAATGCAAATCGAAGCTATTTGATGTCTGACTCAGGCCTATATGACCGATCGATCGACATACTCCAAGACTCCACCTTTGTCATATATTCCATATATCACATTAGATAGATATCATATTCCATCATGGAATATGATTCACTTTCAAGATGCCTTGATGGTGAAATGGTAGACACGCGAGACTGAAAATCTCGTGCAAAGAGCGTGGAGGTTCGAGTCCTCTTCAAGGCATAATACGGAGAATGCTCATAACGTGGTACAAGAAAGAAAAATAAAAAACCATAAGGAATATATTGTATCATGTTTTACGGTTTAAGGATATGACTTAAACTCGACGTTAAAGATGAGAGACCGCAAGTGAACTTATTTGTTTGCTCACTCCAGTAGTCGATGAGTCATTCAGTGCGTTCTGTGCTTTGCTCAGGTGCGGTGCAAAAACGAGCCGAGGAAAACAACAACAGCTGCGACACGTCGGTGGGGAGATGGGTTCGGGATCCGAGTGGCCCGGCGTACACGGCCGCGACGTGCCCGACGCTGCCGGCCTCCAAGAACTGCCACAAGTACGGCAAGGATCCCGGCCACCTCTACTGGCGGTGGCGCCCCGACGGCGGCTGCGACGACCTGCCGCGCTCCTCGCCGGCGCGCTTCCTCGCCGCCGTCCGCGGCAAGCGCCTCGCCTTCATCGGCGACTCGCTGGCGCGCAACCACATGGAGTCCCTCCTCTGCCTCCTCTCCCAGGCGGAGGCGCCGACGAAGGTGTCCGCCGACGACGACGGTGTCCGGGAGTGGCGCTTCCCCGCGCACGGGTTCACGCTCATGGCGATCACGACGCGGTTCCTGGCGCGCGCCGAGGAGGTGCTCGGCGGCGACGGGAGGCCGACGGCGTCGTTCGACGTGCACCTCGACGCGCCGGACCCCGTCTGGGCGAGCCGCCGCCTGCGGGAGCTCGACTACGCCGTCTTCTCCACCGGCAACTGGTTCTTCCGCGTCAACTACTTCTCCGAGGGCGGTCGCCGCGTCGCTTGCAGCGGCTGCAGCGGCGACGCCGACGCCGGCGAGCTCGCCGACTTCGGCGTCGCGCACGCCGTCCGCCGCGTCGTCAGGGCGGCGCTCGAGGCCACCGCCCGGTGCGGCGACGGCGACTGCAAGCGCGGCCTCGTCGCGTTCGTGCGGACCTACACGCCGAGCCACTTCGAGCACGGCTCGTGGTTCGACGGCGGCTACTGCAATCGGACGCGGCCACTGGAGGAAGACGAGGCGCCGAGCTGGGACCAGTCCATCGGGTGGGATGTGAGGAGAGCCCATATCGAGGAGGTGACGTCGGCGAGGAAGACGACGCCGGCGACGACGACGAGGTTCGAGGTGCTCGACGTGACGAAGGCGATGATGCTGCGCGCCGACGGCCACCCGGGGCGGCACTACGACAAGAGGTCGGCCGGCGGCGGCGCCAACGACTGCCTGCACTGGTGCATCCCGGGGCCCATCGACATGTGGAACGACGTGCTCCTCCACAAGATCGCCGAGACCGCCTCGCCGCCGGCGACGAATCTCCGGTGATGTCGGCGGTGATTTGGTGACAAATTTAGCAACAATTGATGCAAAAATAAGTAGCGGAAATTGAGTGGTCGTGATGTAGTACTGTTGAGTGTAAGTTAATTACCCGCGCTTTCTATTGGAGATGAACCAACCACCCACAACATCACCTCCATAAGGGACAAATGTTTTCTATCACTCAAGAAAATATCTACTCGTTTCCCATCTATCTATCTATCTATTATCTATCTATCTATCTATCTATCTATCTTCTATTATATACTAAAAGTCCATGAAACTTCCTAAAAATACTCTCAAACCGCCACGTGGCTTCCTCAAAACCCTCCTAAATCGCCACGTGGCATTATATTAAATAGACAAAATTCCAACCATTGATTTTCACTTAAAATAGGTGGACCCATTATTTTGAGCCATTAAATTTAAGCTAATCCGTATCCTCTCATCTCCGAACACCGCGTACCTCCTCCCCGCATGCAAGGCGTAGATAGCTAGGTACGCATCCACTCCTCTCCATCTCCCCTTTTTTCTCCAAGGTTGTTAAGATACAAAGCATAATTTATTACAATAAGTTAGATAGAGGTATGGAGCCTGCAGGAGCTCGCTGTGCACCATGCATGCTACCTAAATTATAGGAGTGATCACAGTGATACACTTGAACTACACATTCAGTTTATTATACACTTGAACTACTGTTTTTTAATCAAATCAACGGTTTAAGACTCATATTAGTTAGCTATATTTTGGTGGTAAAGAATTATTACATGTTGGGCTTTTTCAATTTATCACATGCACGTATCATTTTCATGAGTCCTCCCCAAAATTGAAGGAAACCCTAAAAATTTTCTTCAATATCAAGTCTAATTTTTTATTCAAATCGGTGGATCAATTATGATACAATAAGGCAATAGTAACTAATTAACTACATACGTACTCTCTCATCCTCCTCTCCTCTCTCATTCAATTATTCATTCTTCTAATTTTTAACTAATTAGCAACTTAATATAAAAACAAAAAAAAATTAGAAAGCTAAATGATTATAATTCTTAAGTTATATCTGGTTTTTAAGTTCAACAATATAAAAGTAAAATATATTACTTCACAAATATAAATATATTTAGTAAAATTAAGATCTATATATGATAAATATCCACTCAATGTTCTTTAAAACATCTTCTAAATAATTCAAGATCCATATTACCCATATTTCACTATAAATAATACGTCATTTGTAGACACCTATGCGTGTCAACCAAATAAAAAAAATCAAACAAACTATATCACCTTAAATCATCGTACATTCTCAATAGAGCACTTACATGTCACGTGTTACGTCTTAAATTTAAAAATAAAATCTTAGAAATTATAGAAAAACACATTTGACCACTGGTTATGAATTAAATATGTATATCCATTATTTTAAACCATTAGATCTATTTTTTTAAAAAAATCTTAAGCCGCTAGGGGTTACATTTTAATAATTAAAAAAATATTATTCAAAATTTTAGGAACAAAACAATAAATCATCGGTTTTCATTTAAATCATTTATAAAAACTAGGAAATAAACCCCGCCCCACCCCCCAAACTTCACCCCCTCCTCACATATGCACAAACACAACACTACCCGTCCCCTCACCCCTTGGCTCGCACTTTCCCCTATACCCTCCTTGATATTTTTATAACCAATAAAAAGAGAAATAATCAATAATATTAAAACATACATATCTTTTGAACCACACATCTGATTCTAATATAAATTGCTCTATTTATAATTAAACCAATAATTTAAAGATCCATAACGCCTATATTTTAAACTTAAAATAAGAGTAGTATCAAAATAAAACAAGATATAGAAAATATCAATATGAACATTGGTTCCTACTTTTCACTAAAATTAGAACAATTATACATGTTCCTATTTTTTAAGTGCTTAGATATTATTGGTTTTCATGACATTATGAGTTCCTCTGTACATTATTGTATATATATAAGCCACACAATGTTTGCGGTTTATAGTTGGTTGAGAAGTTATATTTGTAATTATTAAAATGTTCAGACTCATATTAACTAGGTATTTTTTTTAAAAAAAGAAAGATACTATAGATCACACATATATTAGGGAAGGGAGATCTACGATATATCTTTAGAAATTTATATATAAATATATAACAAATTGCGTCAATAAAATATATTCATTAAAAAATAAAATATATTCATTAACAATAATAGTTATTTAGGATTTTCTAAAAAAAGAAAGCACCTAAACATTTTATTAAACAAGACAAAACATCACATGTTTCCAAACAAATTAAATCTAACTCCTTTCTAGATAATGAAGAGATCATAGATAATTATTTATAGGAATGTATTAAATATTATGTATTTTAAAAGCTAACAAATAGATTGGAAAAATTATCTAAGCAACACTGATGAGATAAGTTATGGATAAACAATACTTATGAAATGACAAGTGTCATCTGGCTGATATTATGCCATTTTATATATTTTTTTCAAACATAATTTATAGTACATGCCTACGCATCGCGCGGGCTACCTTCCTAATTATATCTAAATGGTTATCAAATTTTTTTAAAAAAAAAATATGACGAGATAGATTAACATGAAATACATTACTTCACAAGGTATACAAATTCAAATTTAACTCAGTTTTTTTTACAAGTTATAGAACTCGAATTTCAACTTGCATTTTGTAGAGTGGTATATTTCCTATTAATATGTATTATTAATTTTTTTATAAAAAAACTTTATGACTATTTAGGTGGCATGTAAGAAATGAGAAGACCAGCCCCGGTCCTATGATTTTGAGGGCCTCAGAGTGAACTCATCGCGATAGGCCCTCTAGACTATATATAAAATTTTATGATATATATAGACGCTAATTTTACTTGCAAAGCGAACACAAATCCATTGAAATATTTAATTTAACATATTTGATAATTATCAAGGAATAAAGACAACCAAAATAACAATATATTTGTGCCCTTGGAATCAATATGATTACCTTAACAAAGAATAGAACTCTATCACATCCATTGCTTCCCATGAAAAGATACTCTTCGAGCATCTCTAGGGCTGAGGACGAGACGATCAGATTGAAGGCGGCGGATGATGAATTGAGGGTGAGCGGAGGAGGAATTGAGGATGGCGCCTAGCGGCTAGCGTGAGGAATTGAGGATGGCGGCGCCTGGCAGCTAGATCGATCTGATCTGATCTCCTGTCTCTGACTCTCTATCTCCGTCGCGGCATTTCCACTTCCACCACAAAGCTGCGTCCAGAGCTGGCCCTCCTGCTGCGAGCCTGCGACTATGCATATTGGCTAGTTATCTGCTATTAGGTGTGGGCCCCGGGCACTGGAGAAGACATTTACTTGAGGGATGAAAATCCATCTCCAGACAATCTCCACAATTAATTAAGAGATAAATCAACAGTTAATTCACATATTTGGGTAAGGAGATTGAAGGATAAAGGGATAAGGTTGAACTCCTCACCTCCATAAAGTGAGGCAATCTCCTTATGATCTTCATCATACATAAGGTTGAAATCTATATCATGTTTATCCTTCAAGTGAAGTGATTGCCTCAAAAAAATGAATCAATTGATAAGGCTGAACTCTTATCTTATGGTGAAATAAGATATTTGACAAATATTTATTCTACTTAACATAAGAGTAGATGTCATCCATAACATGTTTATCCTTCAAATCAAGAAATATATGGGTCTGTGAATCAAGGCAGAAATCTCCTCAGCAATGGGAATCATGGGGAAATGGGAGAGATGCATCGGAGGCAGAAGCAAGCCAATGTCGAGGCAGCGCACGCAGGAGGCTCTCCGTCGAGCACCTGGCGACTCCGAGGTGGACAGGAAGGAGAAGCCATGGGCGGCGCGGTGGAAAGCTTCTCTGATCGCGACCTGCCTCGTCGCGCTGCCGGCGCTGGTGTTCCTCGCCGTCGGCGGCGGCATGCCCTCCGCCGTGACGGTGCTTGGCGGCGCGGGCGCGGCGAGAGCAATGGCGGAGTGCGACGTGTCGAGGGGGAGATGGGTGAGGGAGCCGAGGGGGCCGAGCTACACGAACGTGACGTGCTCGACGGTGGCCGACTACGTCAACTGCCAGAAGTTCGGCAAGGATCCCGGCTACCTCTACTGGCGGTGGCGGCCCGACGGGTGCGAGCTCCCGCGGTTCTCGCCGGCGACGTTTCTCGCCGCCGTGCGCGGCAAGCGGCTCGCCTTCATCGGCGACTCGCTGGCGCGCAACCACATGGAGTCGCTGCTCTGCCTGCTGTCCCAGGTGGAGACGCCCACCGACATGCACGCCGGCGCGTTCGTGGACGCGTTCCGGAGGTGGCGCTTCCCCGAGCACGACTTCATGCTCATGGCGGTGTGGACGGAGTTCCTCGTCCACGCCGTCCCGGTCGTCGCCGGCAGGCGGACGGGGCCGTTCGACGTCCACCTCGACCGGATCAACGCAGAATGGACGCGCCGCCTGCCGTTGCTCGACTACGCGGTGATCTCCAACGGCAACTGGTTCTTCCGCGCCAACTACCTCTGGGAGGGCGGCCGCCGCGTCGGCTGCGTCGACTGCGGCGAGCCCGGCCTCGCCCACTTCCCCATGGCGTACGCCGTCGGCCGCGTCGTCGGCGCGGCGCTCGACGCCATCGCCGGGTGCGCGGACTGCAAGCGCGAGCTCGTCGCGCTCGTGCGCACCTACACGCCGGACCACTTTGAGCACGGCTCGTGGTTCAGCGGCGGCTACTGCAACAGGACGCGGCCATTGGAGGAGGATGAGGTGAGCTCGGGCGTCATTGCCTGGGAGCTGAGGGCGGCGCAGATCGAGGAGGTGAGGAAGGCGAGGGAGAAGGTGACGACGACGATGAGGACGAGGAGGAGGTTCGGCGTGGTGGACGTGACGCCGGCGATGATGGCGCGTGCCGACGGGCACCCCGGCGAGCACCACCGCAGGTGGAGGGGGAGGAATGCCAACGACTGCCTGCACCTATGCTTGCCGGGGCCCATCAACATGTGGAACGACGTGCTGCTCCGGCGGCTCGCCGAGCTCTCGCCGCCATCGGATGCACGGTGAGATAGTGGCGCGCGTGGAAACAGATCCTCTGACTTATTTGTCCTCCGATTTTGAGTGGCTGACATGTAGATCTCATAACTTGTGGACCCACGTGTTAGTCACCCACGTTGGAGGAGTTTCTTCATGCGTGCCCACTATGAAGAGGTTTCCTTTGCTAGCTGAGTACTCCCTCCGTCCAATTTTAAGCGCAACCATGAGTTTTCATGTCCAATTTTGATCGTCCGTTTTATTTAAAAATTTTTATGATTAGTATTTTATTATTATTAGATGATAAAATATAAATAATAATTTATACATAATTTATGCTTTATTTATTTTTTTTAAAAAAAAGATAAATAAGACGGACGATTAAAATTGAACATAGAAATTTATGGGTGCACTTAAAATGGGACGGAGGGAGGAGCTGTTGATATGCAGTTGATTCACCAAGTTGCAATCTTCTGAAGGTTTTTTTTTTAGAAAATGTGTCACAATGTTGCAGTGGAGGGGACTGAAATAACCAGGTGAATTAATTTTAGCTTTATGAGGCCATTTTGTTGGGATGAAATTAAGATGACAGTTTATTAGGTTGTACTCCTGTTTCATATAATGTAAGATATTTTGGTTTTTTATTCTAAGTTAAACTTCTTTTAATTCGATCAATTTTATAAAAGACATAACAACATTTTACCCAAAAAAAATATTATAAAAATGTATTGAATGATGGATTTAATGGAATTAATTTGACGTTATAAAATGTTACTGCATTTTAATGGAACTAATTTGACGTTATAAAATGTTACTACATTTTATATAAATTTTATCAAACTTGGAATAAAACCAAAACAACTTCCATTCTGAGATGTAGGGAGTGCTATTAACCTTCCTAATACATTACATGGACAGGATAGTAATCTACTACTAGTACTCCCTCCGTCCCAAAATATAAGTATTTTTAGCTATGAATCTGGATAACTGTGCGTTCAGATTCATAGCCAAAAGTTGTTATATTTTGGGACGGAGGTAGTAGTTAATTGCCAAACAGGATATATATAGGTTGGAAATGCAACTATCAAACTGGAACTTTTGAGATAAAGCAATTATCAAACACAAGACATCATTTTGTCTCACAGACCTCTGCTCTGCTCATCAAAGAACCCCTCTTGTTCACTTGAAGCATACTAGCCTTCTTCTGGACATGACACCCTTGCAGCTGCAATGCCAAAGAAAAAGGACTTAGCATCTTAAATAAAAACTCTCCAAGAATTAAGCAGAAAAATAACAGTCTACATGACTACAAATTCACAGACATTGACGTGAGAAAGCTAAAATTTTGCAGCATATTCACTCACAAGAAAGAACATCCGCGCCGTGTTTTCTTCTTCTTCCTGTCCCTCTGCTTTGTTGGAGGCTTGATTACTACCTTGATGGCAGCATCAAACACAGCTTTTACATTCTACATATTATTGATATTTGTTAAGGGATTACCCAAGCTATATCTTCAGGATTGAAATGTAGGCACCTTCAGGAGCATAGAGAGGCAACATGAGAAATTAACCTGCTGTGTCTTTGAGCTGCATTCGATGTAACACGTTGCGCCAATGTGCTTGCGGAGTTCCTCTCCCTGCAAGATAAGCATTGCAGGAGAACACAGAAATGTAAGATGCTGGAATGCAGTGATATCTCAAAATTTTGCAGAGATTTACTGTGAAATTTTCAGTCCTCAGGTATGCAGAGTGCATAGGTACTGGAGAATAATACCTGTGCTGTAGTCACAGGCACCAAGCTAGGATGGTCAAGTAAGTAGTGTTTATCTTCACGAAGATCTGTATGGTCGACAAAAGTTGTGGTTTAATTGAACAGTAACTGATTGAGATTTGTTGCAAGATAAGATTGTAGGCTTGGTTTTCAAAAAAAAAATAAAAATCCAAGGCGAAATGCAAGAAACTTGAAAACATGATCAGCATAATTACTAGGTAAATTTCACTAGCCTATTTCATTCAATATTACTGAAGTGCAACCTTCCTTTTAAAACAGGTGCAACATTTATTTTACTTAAGTATTTAGTACTAGAGAATTATCATCTGTTTAATTAATTGTAGTGGTTACTATGTTAGATGATTAACTGCAAAGGAATATAGTGTCTCCCATCTAGGTAAGAGCTTGGAACTTTGAGTTCCGGAAACCGAATTCTTGCTTCGGTAAGTTACTAACAAATAAGCTTCAATTTAAAGCAGAAAAAGTCCAAATAAACCCCTAAACTTTCATTGAAAGTCCATCTAGAATCCTGAAGTTTGAAATCGGAAATTCAACCCCCTAACTTTACAATACCATTCATATGGAACCCTAAGGTGGTTTTACAAAGTTGTTTTATTTAATTGGCATATAAATTGGATGAGCTTTGATCATGTGACATACGCATATGTTAAAATTTTCACTTAAATATTTCTTTTTATCCCTTGTTCGCTCTCACTTATACCATTGTAAAAATAATATGACATCACTCTATATTATAAATTGACAAACTACAATTGATGATACATAAATGTATTATATAAGTTATTTAAAGCTGCTTGTTTAAGATCCCAAATACGTAAAACCACTATTCAAAATCACCTTAGGAGGTTATATAAACGGCATTGCAAAGTTTAGGGGGTTGGTTGTCCGGTTTTAAAGTTCAACGTGCTAAATGGACTTCTATCATAAGTTTAAGGAGGTAGTTGGACTTTTCCATTTGAAGAAAACAAGAATTGGTATTTCCAAACATCAATTATGGAGGTTTTGAAATTGTTTGAGTGAAAAAAAAAGAGAAAGAAACCTCATTGGCTCATTCATAAACCTTGCCTCTCTTTTTTTAACTACGATTTACTTTTATTTTGTTCAGAGAAAATAAAATAATGTAGTGCAACTAATCTTAGTGAAATAAAAATTAAGATAGTTCCAAACAATTCCTTGAGGAATCATAATCCAACAGTGATAAGGTAAATTGATCCGAGCCGGTGAAATACTACTGGCAAGGTACAAGACAGAACGTACAAAATGCAATAGTTCCTACTTAAACATCGCAAGGACTAAATCTTGGTGAGTTATAGTAACTATTATAGGTCCATCAATATTTTTAGGGACCACACAATTCCATGCTCCAAGAATGAAAAGACAAAATCATCCAAATCACTACCAGCAAGTGACAAGCTTAGACAGAGGATGTACAGCACACCAGTTCTATTATCACAGCCAAGGGGATATGCAATAAAATGGAAATTGTGCTTTCACTGTCACACAACTCACCCAATTTGGTCCCAACCAACACAATTGGCACCCCTGGTGCATAATGCTGAAGCTCTGGTAACCACTTCAAGGGGACAAAAAGCACAAGGTAAACCTAACTGAAATACTGAATCTCTCTGAATGCATCCACATTATGGGTTTAACAGATTAATTGCAAGAGATTTTTTTTTTCTGAACCTTCTTCATGACATTCTCATAGCTAGCTCGGCTCACTAGGGAGAAGGCAAGCACAAAGACATCGGCGCCACGGTAGCTTAGCGGCCTCAATCTGTTGTAATCTTCCTGCCCTGTAAACAATTTGAAGTCCACACTATCAGCATCACAAGAATGAAATTTTTTTTCAGCTGGAAGGATTAGTAAAATTACCTGGAAATGTAGAACAAACAAAGCATCTGCAAAGGAATTACAAAAATTACCTGCAGTATCCCAGAGACCCAAATTCACCGTGGTGCCGTCGACCACCACGTTTGCACTGAAATTGTCAAAAACAGTGGGTACGTAATCCTGCAGAAGGCCAAACAAAAACAAAAAGAAGTTATAAACATGCAACAAATTTGAATTGAAATATTAACTGTGATTCAGGAAGAAAACACACACAAGAACAGAGTTTTTCTGTAACTCAACAATGATACCACCTCTTGTTTCCATACAAGCATACCACTATACCAGAGTCCCCAAGAAATCAAGAACAAGAAAGGAAAATCTAGAAGAAGTTACAGCTGGAGCAGGCAAATGAAGAATCCCGAAATTTCGACGAAATCAAGAAAAACCCCGAATCTTTTCCGAAAGGAATGAACAGAAAACAGATAGGATGGAGCAAAAAGGTTTGCATTTTGCATTACAGTGGGGAACTTGTTGCTGGTGTAGCAGATGAGCATGCAGGTCTTGCCGACGGCGCCGTCCCCGACCGTGACGCACTTGATGAACCGCGACGCGCTGGACGCCATGGCCGCCGGCCGAATCGAGCAGCAGCAGCAGCAAGCAGAGACAGCAAGAGAGGGGAGAGAACTTGATAGAGAGGAGGAGGTGATGGCTTCTTGGTGAAGCGATGGTTGGAGGCTAGAGAGAGAGAGAGGGACAGAGGGAAGTGTCACATGCTTCCTCTCTGAACTGTTCTCACTACTGTCTATACTGATTAGCTAGAGAGGCCATCCATCCATCTTTTATCTTTGGCGTCCTGACGCCGTGTTCTTTCTCGCTATGGGGGGATCTGGATCATCTACTGTTCATCTTCTGAAAATGGGGTCTACTGCTCCACTAGTTATGCTGGTAGGCTGCTAGTAGAATTGCAAGAACTGTTTGTTGTTGATTGTGCATTTGTTGATACCCTGATGGTGTCTGATGATCCTGTAGTTGATAAGTTGGTTTCTGGTTGTCTAGTGCTTTCAGCCATTATATGATGCTATAGTATTCAGTCTTTAGAAATACTCCTTCCATCTCTAGATATACTAATTTTTAGAGTTTAGAATTTGACTTGAATATAGCAACCTAGTCCTTTTGAAAGATGACTTTTGTTACTATAAACTATTCATATTACCCATACTATCCCTTGTCTCTATTATATTTGGAACTTCGGACTTACACCTCACCTATCCCGAGAAAACAAAGAAGTATTTTACGACAATGAAGTATATTTTAAAACTGAAAATATATAGACCACATGGACCATTATAATTTATTCGATTTAAATATAATGAGAGTGTAGATTAAGGCAAGAAGGGTTGACATCATAGCTGTTCTGCCAAGGATTAGCACAATTTGGTGCAAAGTTACAAAATGACAGATTGCATGCCAATTCTGAAGTGAACAGAAGAATTCAGACGCCGACGATCTGAGTGCAAGTAGTCAGTAGGTCAGTGTCTTCTCTTTTCGATCTCCATCCTATGGCGTAGTGGCTTGCTTAGCAAGCACACAAGTAGTAAGATGTTGCAAGAAACAAACGCAAGCTGTAGTTAAGCTGGATTTTCTTCACAATTTGTGCTTTACGTCTTTTTCTCCTCTCTCTCTCTCTTTTTGCCGTCTTTTGCTTGGAAGTTTGCTGCTGAAAAGTATATACGCACCATGACTACTGATTAGCATCTCTTCGTTTTCAATAAAGCAGATTCTTGACGCTAAACTCGCCCATCATCCAAGAAAAATGGAGTTAAATTATTTTCGTTAGTGTGCTTATACGATGGCGAAATGAATGTTTTATAAGATTGTAAAGATTCAGGGTCGATTCCCTCGTTTGCTCTGCGGCTTATTAGCTGTAACTAAAATCTGAATTTTAAATCTTAATTTCAGAGTTGATTTTTAAATCTTTTTTATCACAGTTTATTTTTAGTATTAGCTTTTAAGTCGCTAACAACAAATATATATATATTTCTACCCACAATAGCATCATGGCATCATGCTGTAGATATGGGCGGATCTAGTACGGGTGCTGGGGGGACCCGAGTCCCCTTATCCTTCTAGATCACCATTGATAGAACGAGAGAGAGAAGGGGAACACCATTGATAGAAGAAAAGAGGAAAGGGGAAGAAGAGGGAAAGAAGGATAGGAGAGCTTGTGAAAGAAGAAGATAAGTCTCTCCTGTAATTCCATTTTAGATCTGCCCCTAGCTGAAGGAGTTGATGAGCAGTATATTATCCTTGTAAAGTTGTAATACATTGACTGTAGATATATCACAACAAATTGCAGAGGATTACCAAGCAAATAACTCCTCAAATTAATGAAACCAGCATGTGGGCTCTTTGATTCTCCAGTATTTTTGTTGATTCTTCCAGGCACGCTTTTGTCTTCCTTCTTTGGACATGCGTGCATGCAAGGCTGATGGCCCAAAAGTCGATCCTAATTTGATCTTCTGGCCAGGTGCTCCTCTTTGCAGATTTACAGCTCTTTAATCATTGAGATCCACAAAAGAGGCTATGATGGTTGATTATGCAAATCTTGTGTGTTTGAACGTCTTTTATATGCTGTGATTACACATGCTAAAATAAGGTTAACTAAAGACACTTTACTAGCTAGACCATATCATGCCAACTCTATCGTAATATTTCTTAGGGTGTGTTTTCCCAACTTTTACTATCTTTTTTCCACGTGTACACTTTACAAACCATTAAACGGTATGATTCTTCACAAAAAAAATATATAGAAATGTTGTTTTGAAAAACATATTAATCTATATTTTTAAGTAATTGATTATGTGGTAATGAGTCATTTCATTTTTCGTGCTTGAGAAAAATGCCTAACACCTACTACTGCACACACCCTATGCTGATAGCATTTCAAAAGCCACCTATGAAAAATAGGTTAGAATTGTAGGGAAACTATTAATCGTTTGTTTAAAAATCATCCAAACATTTTTTTTAAAAAAAAGTGACAGCACTCATACTACATATATATAACTACACAAAATCTTATATCCAAACTCAACTCACACATTGAGATATATAAAAGATAAATTTAGCGTATAAATAGTAGTGGTGTTGTTCACACTTGGATTTGTCTTTTTTTCCGATGTGTAGATCAAATGTGAACTTGGTTTTAAGTGGAATGACAGATGCCACCGTTCTCTACACTATTAATTTTCTTTCCAGAATTTTTCATGACTATTTACATTGAATTTTGGAGGAAAAGGGTACACGAGAGGATATCTCCCCTAAAGGGATTAGAATCAAATATGAGGATTCTGGCGAACACATGGGTTCCTAGGTATTCCTCGGAATACCCGAAATTTATATTCGACCATTCAATTTTTGTGCAAATATAAAAAAAATTAAGTCATGCTTTAAAACATTTGACGATAAATCGAATAAAAAATGATAATTACATTTTATTTAACAAGAGAATGGTAAAACGTACTGGAAAAAGTTAAATAACATTATATATTGTGAAATCGGAGGGAGTATTTGGCACGGATGCAGGTCGTCTGCAGCGTTGTATGTGCAGTTGCAGTACTGCTCATTTAGCGGTATGGCATGGGCCAGCGCCTTATTAACTCCGCACTGCAGCAGCCGGTGTCACGTACGGCAGCGGCGTGCATGCGTGCATCCGACTGCAGGTGATGCAGCCAGAGAAGCTTTTGCTATTGCTCGTGATGCCCGTGAGCGAGGCGCACACACATGCGCACACAGTCGCAGTCGCTCCCAGATCGACACCGTGCGGCGCGCGGCGATGAACGTCTAACAGGTGGTGGCGCCGATCGAGGCGCGAGGTTCGCGCCTTGGCGGTGGCGGCTAACTGCTTGTCGTTCGTGTCTACGACTGCACCCGCAAAATTTATTTTTCACCCATTCCACGCGTATTAATACAAAACCAACCCAATTTCAATGTAATTATTCTTTTCTCAAAGAAATATGGTTCAAAAGTATACGCAAAAAACACGCGTACACTTACATCTATAAGCACACACGCATGTGTCGTCCCATACGCCCTCGGAAGACTCGCCATCGCCGGTACATCATATACCACTGAAAGAATAATTTGTTGTAAATATGAGCACTTATTGACTCATATCAAGTATAGGATTTAATCCGAGTGGGCTAGTTCCACCATAACAAATCTAATCTGTTGGCACTAACTTCATTCTTTTTTTTATTCATAATATCTTGATTCCCTACTCTCTCTATCACATTTTAAACGTAGTTATAAGTTTCCGTGTCTAATTTTAATCGTCCGTGTTATTTGAACCATTTATGAGTACCCGTGTCTAACTTTGATCGTCCGTGTTATTTGAACCAGCCATAAGTACCCATGCTTCCATGGCATGAGATGGGACGTGGGGTCGCTGCGCGTCAGCGCTGCTCACCCGACCTGCAGGAGATGTCCCGAGTAAATTGTGAGATGGCAGGCGCTGCACTCGCACAGTACTAAAAATGTGCGCGCCCGTGCCACGTACATGCAGAATAGCAGAATTCATATGCATCTTACAAAAATGAACGTGTAAAAATCAAACAGAGATAGCACCTGCAAATTAATGAAATACACCAGAACCAAATGAAAGTGCCGATGGATGAAACGAGTAGTTTGTGAGAAGATAACCGACTGAATTTTATTACTACTGTTCCATCCCATAATATAATAAATTTTAACTATGTGTCTAAACAGTCCAAAAATAAAAGTAGATACATTTTAAAACTCTATCCCATAATATAATAACTTTTAACTTTTTAGAACAGTGATAGTATGTTGATAAGTTGATTTAAAAGGTTTTCTAAGATTGTCGTCAAAATTACGATAATTGAACCGTTTAGTATCTTAAAAAGTATGTACGCGATAATTCAGTGTCCATAGTAGTAATAATAAAAAAATAGCAGGCTCATTCTATCAAAATAACTTGAGAGCTATGTTCATCAGCTCCTGGATATCCAATGCATGGCAAGTACTCAAGGTATAATTGGGCAGAAATACTCTCAAGCAGATCTAGAAATGTGCTTTCCGGAAGTAATAATTCATGTGTATCATGGGTACTATCACATCGTGCCAGATCGAAAGGGAGTGTCCAATACCAATCATACGACCATGCACAAGACTACGTAGAGATCAAGCAATTCACTACCTGTCAACACTAGTACAATTTGGATCAATGCTACTGGAACGAAAGGGATATGAATCGCACAAACGACCTGCCAGAATCATGCCAAAACAGTGTCAGAAAGACGAAAAGGCATTGTCGATTTTGCTTCAAAAGGAAGGGATACGGCAAGTGAGGAAAAAGTTCAGGCAAGAAAGACGTCCAAACTCCAAATCACCTTCCCTTCGGCGGCAAGCCAGTCTCTTTTACGTACAAATTTGACATGACAACTACTTTGGTTCAAAGAATTGGCAAGATCACAAAAGTCAGGACATGAAAACAAACCAAATTCTGGTACAAAAGACACTTAAAAATATATGTTTTGGCCGCCAAAAAGCACTTTAACAAGTACTCCTGAAAGCAGGTAAAATGCACAGAAAAGCATAGCCTCTTGTTGCAAAAGATTACATACGTCTACAGGAGACCAGATCAAACTTGGCAGTAAGAAGAGAACATGCAGGGACGACATTCAGGGTAAGTTTTCTGATATTGCCTCAATTAATCAAATATTCAAATGGGAGCAAAACTTTTGTAATATTCCCCAATATCTCAAGGGCTCCTTGCTATCATTCAACCTAATTAATCCAACTTGTGATGTGAACCTGCTATCCTTGGCTTTCTTTGGTGCCACCAGACTCCAGTCTGATCTGCATCCAGAATTCATTTGACACTCAAAATCCCAAAGTGAGGCTTCTCGTCTAGTGGACACTGTTAATCAGTTGAGGCAAAAATGTGCCATGTAGGATCACATGACAATCTCAGCAAGCATCTTGCTTTCATCAAGTCCTCAAATCTTCTGACATTGCGGAAGGTATACAATGCGTTGTCAGAATATCCTGAGTAGCAGCCTTTGCCGTTTTTGCCTCAAGAACAACCAGCTGCCAGATGATACCAGTCAATTGGAAAGTGCTCACAGGAAGTAGCATTGAACAAAAGAGGATGATAATTTCACTATGAACAATGGAAGAGAGAAAGGGCGCTAATAATCCACATCTGATACCTGATCGTAGTCCATATCAAATTTTAAGTATTCCTCGTTACAATCTTCCACCATGGTTGCCAAGTGCTTTAAATTTTTTACTGGTTTGCCATTGAAAGAAAGAACCTATAGAGAATAAAAACAGTAAAACACAATTAATTTAACACATCAAAGGCAATTTTGTTCAGAAAATTTTGGTCTTCTACTACTCTTAGATAGTCAAATATAGCAATCAGAACAATAAAATGTCCATTACACTTGGTAACTAACTACCAATGTTGTTAGTTCCCTCCTGAGATTTATTTCCACCAATTTCAAACAGAATACTGCTTATGGCTGTTAACTTAGCTAATATATATAACAGCAGTTGGAGACAACCAATTCTGATCAGCATCATTCAAAATATGAACCGGTGTAGTGCAATTGATACGGTCAGTTGAAGAACACCCTTTTCTGGTATGGAGTATATATATGATAACTTGTGAAAATAAATCTCAAACCATAAAAATACTTTCAGTAGTGATCATTGTTACCTGAATATTGACAATTTCTTCATAACCAATGTTGATATCTGCTACAAGAACCTGAAAATTCATCATTTTTTTTCAAAAAATTGTCATATGATGAAATAATAAATACCAAGCTCTAAATAAAAGCAAGAAAGGTTAGCCATCTCATTTATAACATAAAAACATAGGTTAGTACAGAAAGAACTTGAGACCTGTGACACCACCACAAGCTGCTCGTCAGGTGATTGAGCCATTGCATGTAAGTGCTTGTCCAACAACTTGACAGGGGCATCATACTCATAGTCTTTTCCATACTGATGAAATAAGATTGTAGTTAGTTCTGTATTATCAAAAAGTTCGAACTTACAACTTTTTGCAGCAATTTGGACATGAAAAGAAAAACAAATGTGTTGTGCTAGCAGTCATGGATGATGAGAACCTACATGAGTGGTTCTTGAAAAAAAAATGAGTAAATTGCAGAGAACTGCTCCACAAAAATAAACTATGCTAATAAAGGAATCTTCTGGGGAAAATGGACTGTCTGCCACCGACCAATATATTGTGACACAGATTATTGATCGTACACTCTAGCTACATGTGTTAAATGTTGAAAGTCCAGAAATGACAGGTTCATGTCAACATTTTCAACCAAAATCGGATAAGCAACTAGTAGTCCAACATAGAACAGACATTTGAAAGATGTCATTCAGGTGGCAATATCGCTTCCTTCTACAAGGTTGGTGAAAATGACGCGTGAAACATATAGTCATTGATATTTGTGAACATGACTAAAAATTATCCATGTTTTCACACACACCAGAGCACAAACAGAAATACTAAATCACTACAATAAAATAAGTTGACGATAATATATAAGGTTTGTGAAAGTCTGTTAACAAAATACATATACAAGACTAAGCACGCGGTATATATATATATTCAATTTAAAAAATAAAGAGATAAGTTAAAGATGAAAATTACAATTAAGATCAAGCTTTCCAAAAATGCAACAAAATTGTACTGAACATCGTACAGTAGTAGAATGAAAAATTGACAACTGAACAAGGATGTAATATCTTGATTATTATTTCACACATAAAGCTGGACAAGGGAGATGACAGCATACCTCAGATCGGAGATATGGAACAGAAACAACCATAAAAACGAAGCCTGCAACAATGTAATATGATGGTGGCCTGCCCTTTATATGAGCTGGAATGAGTCTTTTGTGAGTTGCCAGCTTAATGTTAAATTCAAGAACTTTCGAATTCCGCAGAATTTTGACATGGGCCTTCTCGCCAGTGTACTTCTGCGAAATGAGGTAGCTGAAGCCAATACGCTCCCCATGTCTGAAAGGAACTGGATAACCAAGATAAACAAAATGTAAGCCAATACTCTCCTCCTTAAGTCATACTTCGTAGGCTACATTGGAGACAAACCATTTGGAGAACTAGTAATAACAGATGACAAGAACTAAGACATGCAGCAGACTTTTAAAGAAGAAAAATCCCAATGCTTTGTGCTAGACAATACGTGCACGTTGAATGATGTCATTTATGGTCAGTGGAGATCTCCATTCAATAACCCCGCTTAGAACGAATCCTTCCAGAACCAAATAATCTAGAAATGGCACAGGGAGTGGGGACTAGAAGTTGAACCTGAGACAATGGAATCTCTCTTGCATGAAACAGAGTGTCCTAGAATGCATGCTCCCAAATAGATACAAGAATAACTGGCCAAGGCAAACAAGTTCTAAAACAAAAGCAGTAGAAATAATCGCTAGTTGTGTAAAGCTCTGACTAACCTGTACCGTCATTGGCAATGTCAATGCCATCAAAGCTTAGAATTATATCAGAAGGTTGCAGGCATCCAGATTCAGGAGCGGTTGGCTCAACCCTTCTGACACGAACACCCTTTTGGTCAGATTTCATTCCCATTGCCTTTCGGAGATCAGGATTTTCCATTTTCTGCCATTCTATTCCAAGTATAGGAAAACCTGCAAAAGAATAAAGGAAATAACAAGCAAATAGCATGGAAAATCAGAATATCATAGATGTGAAGTTAATAATGGAAAAAGGATTACCACAAAACATTTTTTTTAAGAAAAAACGCCCTATGTGCATCAGAAGATCAATGACAAGCAACCATAAATATGCATAACTAAACTATTCAAACCAGTTTTAACTGAAGTTTTGCACTATTGTAGCTGTATCAAACTAAAACACACAATCTATGCATGCAGTCAATGAAGGTATGGTGGGTTATTGAAATACATTCTAATATGATGGATTAGCCTGAATTGTAAGATCTCAAGAACAATACCTGTTGAGGTGTTGATAATGCCAGAGCAAGAACAATAATTAACTCTTGTGATTGCTAATATGTTTACTTGCACAAAATACACAGCTAGATGAACGGACAGTGTTAATCTAGTGATAAAGCTCAAATTATAAGTACCACATCTCAAGAGATTTGTGTACATATGTTGAAGAGTGGTGATTTCAAAGTTCATAGAGATTCCAAATGCACGCACATGTCAAGAATCATCCCCCTCATCTATGCAAAGTATAAGTGCTTAAGTCTTGAAACAATAATGCCATGGAAGCTGATAGAACGGATAAAAACATCCAAATACGCCAATTTCCCCTTAAATACAATTTATGTTACACGGTAACATGTGGATAACTTGTTCACATTAAAAGTAACATAAAACATCTGCACATGCATCTAAATAAGCATGTTTCTGTGCAACGAGCATCCATTTTCCATTCATGTGCCATCACATGTGCCCCCTTAAGTTTAACTCCCAAAGAACTAAATTTCATACGCTAAGAATATAAAGATTTACCTGTGTACTCCCCAGATTTTTCGTAGTCTTGAATGAAGTGATTAATCACTGGGGTGGGTATGACGTAGCCTATGTTTTCTACATCTTCGTGTTTAAGAGATTGAAAAGCTATGCCCACACACTTGCCCTTATCATTAAAAGCAGGGCCCCCAGAGTTTCCTGAATTTATAGCTGCATCTATCTGTTCCATGAAACAGTGAAAACTTAAGTATGCTCCCAGGTTAAGAGATTATTAGAAATAATTCCAAAGAGAAGTAAAAACTATGTCTACAATATGCAAAATATAGACAATCAAAAGCATGCAAAGATCTTAAGAGAAAAACCTGCAATCCTAGAAGCTCCGTTGAACCATGAACATATGAAAGTATCTCTATTCTAGATACAACACCACTTGTGACTGAGATCGTGTCTCCTCCAATTGGGTAACCAACAACAGTCACAGCATCTTGAAGTGCAGGCAAAGATCCAAACTCTAGGGGTGAAACCCCTTTCCAGAATTCATCATCCTCTACAGTTAACATTGCTGAAATGGAAAGGTTATATTAATTATCAAATAACATAAGAAAGCTAACTTCTTGAATTATTAAACAATAAATTGACAGGCAAATCTTTGCAATTTAATAATAAATTGCTTGAATAATACAATTTGACTCCTGCCCTTGAATTTTTTTAGGTCAGGGCAACTTCCAAACGATCGACCCAGTACCTCCAAAATAATAACCCACATAGGCAGGTTCCTGATAACATTAGACCAAGAATAATAGAATATTGTTCACTTGTAATCACCATCAAGCGCTCAAATTAGCACTAGCTTTTGGATTTCTTTTGCACAAGTACTATAACAATTTCACAACTGTGCATTTATGTGCAACGAAGCAACCGTAAAGCCTTAAATAAACAAGAAAGGGCACATGAGATTTAGTTGCTATCCCTAAAGTTATGTGGCATTACTTTAGCTACTCCTTATCATTCCCTATCCTGTTAAAAATATCACAAGGCATTCTACACAAGCTTGATACGCACTCTGTCCAATCTAGATTGCCACCTATTATCACACTACTCCATGTGATGACCAAATCTGTTGAAATGGTATCATCGAACTCAAACCTTTGTGATTAGAGTGAACATAAATAAAAAGATTACAATGCTAAACCTGACTAATCTGGATTTCTGGTATGCCAACGTGAAGATTTGTAAAACAACCGAACATACAAAATCTGCAATAGTAAATAGCAAGTGTTTCTAGCTATTTTATGAGCAGTGCACATCTGCAGTTTTCAATCTGTTTCACAGGACATTGCCATTTTACCAAACATTGCAAGGATTCCGATTGCCAAAAACTAGTCCATAGTCCTAGTAAAGTCGCACGAGTGTGGGCTATACATACCAATGTCACACTCGGTGCCAATAGCGAGAACGGTGGCAAGGTATTTGGTATCCGATCCCCTCTTCTTAAGCTTGACCTGGGTGTAGTGCTCGACGGAGTGAGCGTTGGTAAGCACCCTGTGCCCACCAATGATGAACCCGCTGCTGCTGGAGCTATATTGCCGCTTGCGCTGCCACGGCAGCGAGAAGTTGGGCTCCGTGTGCACGCAGAACACCTTCACCACGGCGTCCATCGACGGCATCACCTTCGCCACCTGCTCCCACCGCAACGGCTCCACCACGGGGACCTCCGCCGCCGCCTTCTTGGCGTTGGCCGCCGCCCCCTTCTTCGCGCCGCGCCGCGGCGGGGACGGGGGCGCGTGGGGTGCGGCGCCGGCATCGGAGGGGGGCTCGGGACGGCCCCGCCGAGACTTGCGGCCGCGGCCACGAGGGGCGGGGGAGGAAGCGGGATCGGGCGAGTCGGAGGCGGAGACAGCCGCGGCGAGGGGAGAGGAGGGGTGGTGGTGCCCGTCGGAGGAAGCGGCGGCGGCGGCGGCGGCCGGAGGCTTCGGCTTGCGGCCGCGCTTGCGCTTCTGGCCAGAGGCGGGGTCGTGGGTCCCGTTTTCGGCGGCGGGGGCGGGGGCGGCGGCGGGTGAGGGGGCGGGCGGCGGCTTCGGCTTCCGGCCAGGGCGGCGGCCGGGCTTGCGCTTGGGGGAGGAGGTGGAGGCGAGCTCGTGGTTGTCCATGGCGACGAGCTAGGGTTTCATGAAGGTGGGAGAAGCCAATGCCCGAAAGGGTTGGGGTTGGCTCGGTCGGTATTTCTTAGGTGCGGGTCGGGTCGGGTTCGAGCCACAAGGTCGGTTCCAAAGGAGAAATTGGACATCCTCTGCCATCGTAAAAAGAGGGTTTCCTCATATTCACCATTTTTCACGTTTTTTACCATTTTCTACGTTTGATTTGACCAAAATACTCTGAGCTCGGGTTCGATGGGTGTGGCGTGGCATTGGTGGGGACGGCATCGGCCGTTGCGGCGGGGGAAGGGGGGAGGGGCTCAGGTTGCTCACCGCCCAATAGGCTGTCAGCGATAACCACGTGGAGGAGGATGGAGGATACCGGCGTTGATCCACTGTGCTCCAGCTTGCTGATAGATCAATCGATGAAGCCCGCCGGTAAGAGGAGCAACGACGGGGGCAGCGGTGGAATGGCATTGCTCGATGGCGATGTCACTTGCTTTGATGTCAAGTCCTTCGCCACCTCCCTCGCGCTACTCACCCTCGTCATGGAGCTCTGACAGCTCCACCCCTACCAACTCCTTATCCTCCTCTCCGCCGCCAGCTCAACCTCCTCCTCCTCCATTCCCCCCTCCACCCCGCTTACCCACCATCATTGCTTCCGTTTCTTCCCTCTCCACCGCCGCCATGCCCGCTGCTAACTATTTTGGTCAAGCCAATTGCGGAAAAATGGTAAAATCATGTGAAAATGGCGAGTATGGCAAAGTAGCGGTTTGGCATCGGTTGGGAGTGGCTTTTTAACGAATCCAATCTACGGAGTGGCATTTGAGCGAAACCATCTTTTGGTAGTGGCAGAATGTATAATTTCTCGTTCCAAAGTGGTGGCGTGTCTGTGCTTTGCCTGCACAACTTTGTGTTACACTTTCTGTGAACTTTTATGTAACGAGAGAATCCACTTCATGGATTGTTCTAGTTCAAAGATTTTTCATTGATATTGTCAATTTCTATAATATACCAACGAGTTTATCATTTATTCTATAATACAGTGTTAGGCTGCTTTTTTTTCCAGAAATACCAAAAGGTTACCAATTTATTTACCCCATTATTTTAAAAAAAATATGAAATTTTTTATGTAACCTTCTTGCACAATATGGTTTTTTTATCTAAGTTTCAAGTTTTTATATTTTAAAGCAAAATATTTTTCTATGGTATATGAGAGTGAATTGCTTACCCAAAAGATAAATAACACAAAAATATTGTGTGACATATAAAAGATAATTTACATTAAAAACAAGAACAAAAAAATATTTTATGTAGCATATAATGAATAAATTATTTTTTTAGTTGCAATTGAAAATTCTAAAACTTATACACAAACTTTCACATTTTGTTAAGAGGCTAAATAAACTCGCCGGTATATTATAGAAAAGAGCAATACAAATATCACATCATTAAATTGGGATAAATTATATTTATCAGGTGCTCAGTTTCCTTTATTCTGCACCATGCTAAAGATTTGTTCAAATTTCATCCGTGTTCAGAATTCAAAAACTTTTCATGGTAGCAAAAACACTTGAGAACATCAGATTGTCACCAGTTTTCAAGTCCTTATAAAGAACAGTCTCATCGTCTTCCAGCCGGTGCATGTTTTCTGAGGAGTGAAGTGCACGGATGGTCCCTAAACTTGTATGGGTGTGTCAACTAGGTCCCTGAACTATTAAAATGAATTTTTGGGTCCCTCAACTTGTCTCGGGTGTTATATAGGTTCAAACGGGCTCCAATACACTCCGTGAGATGACGTGGCATGCCACGGTGACGCTTATGTGTCAATGGGATCCATATGTCAGTCATATAAAAAATAAATTTAAAAAGAGAGGGGAGAGAGAGAGAGGAGAAAAGGATGTTCTTAATTTAGAAGAATAAATGAAAAAAGAGAGGAGGAAAAATATGTTCTTAATTTTTTCTATATGTGGCTGACATATGGGTTCTAGTGACACGTAAGCGTCACCATGGCATGCCACGTCAGCACACAGAGTGGGTTGGAATCCGTTGGACCTATATGACACCCGAGACAAGTTAAGGGACCCAAAAATTCATTTCAAAAGTTTAGGGACATAGTTGACATATCCACACAAGACCGGCCATACATTTTACTCTTTTGAACGATGGAATTGTGAAAAATTCTCACGGTTTGGTTTGGTCTGTCTCGTGTGTGTGATCACTGATCACCTCCACATGGCAAATTCTCCTCGCAGTAATCAGAATTCGTCACTGGGCCAAGCCAGAGCCCAGTTTGCGGCCCATCATCCCGGTAATGGGCTGAATTCGTAATTGGGCCGAACAGATCGCTGGCACCTCTCCACATTTTCTCGTCGTATCTTTCTCTGTTCTCTCCAACTCTCTTTGATCTTCCGGTGATTTCGCATTTCCTCGCCGCCGGCGTTTGATTCCGACGAACTGATCATATCCGCCGCCGCCGCCGCCGCCGCCGCCGCTGACGCCGACACGGACTCACGCCGTCGGAGCGAAAGAACCGCCGCGATTGCCGGTGGGGTTCCGCTGCTCCCGCGACAGAATTTGGGTTCAGGGATCAACCACAGCCATGTCTAGTCTTACCCAATCCAAATCTTGCAGATGGGATACTCCGACGATGTTCAGGTGATCTCCCGCCCGACGTGGATCATTTTCCTTTCTCCCCTCTCGCCCGTACCCTTGTCCCTTGCAGTTGTAAGCAACAAAATGTTTTGGTCAAATCATCTGTAGATTGGTTGTGTTGTGTCTGTGTGTATGTGTGTGTGTTTCAACCAAGTGTTGATCAAATCAGCTGCAGGGAGTATGTTTGTGACTAGAAGCACGGTCCACATTCCCTGTCACCCAAGTTCCTTTCATTCAGCATTGGTGCCTTGTTCATCTGAAAGATCCATTTGTGAAATTGTGATAGTGGCGTAGACTGTAGAGTGTGACGTAGTTGGAATGGGGGTTTTGCAAGTGGGCAGTCTTAATAACTCTTAGTGCAACCTGACGAAAGGTGTTTTTTTCGGCAATACGCGAAAGATTTGTGTATCATTGCATTATTAAGATGGAGAAAGAAGGGCTGAAAGGAACCAAAATCTGTATTAGATGCTAAGCACCTGATGGTAGGTATTTGTATGCAATGCATTCCCATATGCTAGTTAACTCTGTTAAATTTTGCACTTATTGTCTTTTTCGGAGGATCGAGTCTGCACGAACCATGTGATTCATTTTCTCATCAAAGTGTAGGGTTGTATTTCTCCATAGGATTGTACAAGAATTTCGTGGTTTACTCCTGTGTCGTGGTCTCATGGATTTAAGTTTTGAACTAGAATGGTTCACAATTGCCTTCATGCTCTTGTTAGATTTGAAACTTATAGTTACTATAATCATATATATTTCAAATCTATGTAGATATATTTCCTTGCCTTTTGTTCTACTAGACAGATAATATAATAATTATTCTTGTTTAGAGGACTTTGGAATCTGGGGGTAAGATATAAGAGCAATTCTACGGTCCTTGAGGAGGTACCATGAGGTACCAAAAATTTAATGTAAAATTTGGTACCTCATGGTACCTCACAGTACCTAAGTACCAAATTTACAATAGAAAAAGTGGTACCTCATGTTACCTCCTCAAGAACCGTAAAATTGCTCAAGATATAAAGCTTCATCTGTAAACATCATCATCAGAGGTACATTAGTACTTCCGTAGAAATTCTGATTGCTATCCCTCATCTGATAAGGCATTTAATAATTACTTTATAATGGTAGACTAAATATATTAATGATGTTCTTATGCCTATTATCTAAATGATCACATCCCCTTTAATTTGTCCTTGACAACTCATAGCTAGTTGCTTTGTTTGTGTCAATATTCATTACCCTGTATGTGTTCATGTTGGACTTCAGACTTCAGAGTCTAGACAGTAGATAGACATGCCAACTTCCTGAAAGTGATCCCTTCCAACTTTTAGTTGGGACAATAAACAATATGATACTGTCATAACTGCAATCAAGTATATGACATATGTGAGAGTTAACCACTTGTTTTGCTTGTGGTCTGTACTCTGTACGTTAGGATGCTAGCTGTAATATCTGGATTTCTTTCAGAATCTTTCTAATAACTTATCTGTCCCTCATCAGGAAAATGGCAATGATTTAGCTCCTAAATCATGACACTCTTTGTGCATGCGCACTAGAACTGTTCTCAGGTAGATATAATAATTTAAATATACAATAGTGCATCCTAGCTATCTTTTATCATTTGACAACCTCAGTTTCAGTATTTCTGAATAAGACACAGATACACATAGGCATGACCTTTATATTGTCAGATTTGGATCTGAAGCATGACGGCCATCATACTTATTCATGATGCAATTACTCTTAATTTAAAAATACTTTATAAGCACGAAGCAACTACTATATAGAAGAAAATAAAGTACTTGTCACCAAGAACTTATATGAGAATATTTCAGTTACAGCTAGGAAGTGATAACGCTAAATAACTGCAAACATTGTAAGAAGTCATATGTGGGTTTGTATAGATTTATGTTCCTTAGATTTATGCTGTTATTGAGCACTGCAACACATTTGGGCCTCTTCTGGAACTCCCTTGTAGTTGGTTAACCACATGCATGTTTTGCAGTCAAGCAAACATGCTTGATGCTTCAGTTTCTTCCACAAGTAAGAGTCTTATATGACCCATAGTATTGATCACTATCTCAAGTAACTTGCTGAAACTGAGGTGCGTGCATAGAAAGTAATGGTTAGCAACATTGTCAGCACCTTCTTGGTCTCCCACTCTCACTATTGGTTTTTGGTTGAATGTGCATCTCCAAATACAAAATACTAGTGTAATACACTTACCAAACCCCACCAGAAAAGTCCCTGTTAGTGGCTCATCATAGGAAAGATTTGGATAACTAGATTTCCAGCTCATTCTGCAACAGCAAAACACGCATTGCACGAAGGTGAAAAAAGCCTATGCGCCCCTAGGTTTCACAAGTGCATGTGGGTGTAGCTCTGAGACTGTGCATGAACACCAGCCTATCCCAGCTTGAGTCCTCCTTCCTGAGCTCGCTGGTCGCCACTGATCCCAAATAATTGCACCGAGAGCAAGCTAACACCATGTTTAGATCCCAATTTTTTCTTCAAACTTCCAACTTTTTCCATCACATCAAACTTTCCTATTCACATAAACTTCCAACTTTTCCGTCACATCGTTCCAATTTCAACCAAACTTCCAATTTTGACGTGAACTAAACACAGCTAGAACATTCACTCATTCACTGAAAACTCCTCTCAGCTTTCATCTTCCAACCTGCAAGAGGGGAAGATCCCCCACACATACACCTTTCCTGATTTGATGGCTGTTGTTTTCTAAGGTGATCTCCCCCTATCTTTATTTCTCCCTTTCTCTCTGCCACTGCCACTGCAACTGTGACCCAAACCCCATGTACTGATGCTGCTGCTGCTGCTGCTGGCATCTTTGCTGTTTGGTGAGGAATCCATCAATCAACATTGCCTGAGAAGGGAGTCAGAGACCCAATGGTGAAGAAGGAATCATCATCTAGTCCCTGATGAAGAACACCCTCAATAATTCTTCTCTTTTCCATGTGCACTCCCATCTGTAAAGATGTGAGGAGGGAAAAAAAATAACTAGCAGGATCAGTGTAGTGGTGGTGAGGTGACACTTGTGTCCCCCTGAGCCATCATTTTTACAAGGGGAGCATATATGCCAGTCAGTAGACAGCAGTAGGTGTTTGATGTCCATTGCAATGGCAGGCAAGGTCCCCTGTGGTGTGTGCAGTCCTTCAGTTGTTGGCTAGGAGGAGAAAAGTTGGGAGAGTAACCTGTCAGGGGCCATGCCCTGAGAAAGAAAAAAAACACCTCATTTGATTTGATGCTCTTGTTATAACTTGCATTGTCTTGTGAAGCTGTGACTCACCTCCTCTTTTTTCCTTTCTTTAGGTAAGGCAGCAAATGGAACTCTGGAAATTGCCAAACATACTGGGCAAGCTCCTTTGCTTTTTTAGCCTTCAGTCTAATTCAAGCAAATCATGGTATGTTGATCAAGTGATAAACTTTGTCATACTATGGTATGCTGATCAAGTGATAGACTTTTTCGTACTAGTGATCAATCCAGTATCCTTATCAAAATTACATCTCATAGCGATTTTGTGCCAAGTTTGCGTCGATCCAAACCGTACCGGGAAAATTCCATCATTAATCATATGGGTGGGGTTACACCGAGGGCCGATGATCAATGATCATGTCGCGAATAGCTGCAATGAACTCCTCCTGGAAGGATATAATGCTAGCTCTGTTTACTACCAACAAAAGTTTTTGGAGCTGTTTGTGTTGGAGAGCTTGAGGGCCTATGTTGTTAGATACCACCATCAAGGATAGGGTTGCTCCAAGAACAGCAACTGGGGCATTGTCCTGCATTGCCTCTGTAGTTGTCATTCAGCTGTCTGCTTACTCCTGAAAGCATCCCAATTTGCAGCTAACTGTTCACAAACAATGCAACTAGGCATGTCAATAAAGGCTATGATCTAGTGAGTACCACAACTTGGCAATGCATTGGACTATGATACAGTCTAACAGTTCTCTGTTACGTGTGTTACACCTGCAGTTTTATCACTCCTTCTGCATGATGACGGTTTGTGGCATCAATTGCTCAGTGTGGGGATGATGGCTGTGTCATAATCTTCAGAGATTACCTGTGTTAGCCTTGGACCATGCTCATCCATACATTACAAGGTACAGCACATCTCTGTGCCAATCATCATCCGATATACCCTTAGGATTCTTTCGGCTTCTCTTATGAGCTTATCCCCATAACAATGAATTATAATTTGATAACAATATACCGCACGCATTCTGAAGTACACTCTTCATATTATTTATTTATCAGATTGTTGAAACGAATTATTTGCTCCATGCTTTAAAAAATACATTTTCTAAAAAAAATTTTAGTGTATTGCTTGGACCACTTGTTTTAAGTTATTTGTTAAATTTATTTATCAAAATATTCAATTTATTTCTACAATCAAGTATATAATCTGCCGTAACAATCCGCTCGTTTCAAACTGAGTCGCTTTGAGCCAAATCTGAAGTACTCTTTGGTATATATGCCATCTTCTTGGAGGCCTCTGATCTGGAAAAGAATGTAGGGTTGTTTTGGTTTGAAGCCCTACCAAAATTTTGGTAGTGCCAAATCTTGGGTTATGTTGTTTCTAACTCTATTGAATTAGTAAGATTTGGCCTCAATCTAAATAGTTAACAAAACTATCAAATAATTGGTAGGGCAAGAATTGGTTTCAATCCAAACATACCCGTTTATGCCATCTTCTTCATCCCCAATGATAGAGGTAAAATCAGTTGGGAAAGGTGGCTTTCTATCTCATCATTTTTCCCAACCTTGACTAGTCAGGAAGCCATACATAGGGTGGCAGTCTTTGAGCACTGCAACAAAACGCCATTACCGTTTGATATGCTCATATCGTGCTCCGTATAAAACAAAAGGCGGCACTGTGGCCGTAGGGTCCCCATTGTTACGTGTACACTTGCATGCTTCTCTACAGGGCTTCTCATAATCTCTTTACATGGACCGTATTTTTTTTCTCTGTATTTTTCCACATGAGTTACTGTTGTCCACAGCCAAAAGGAAGTTAGTGATGTACAGTGAACTATCAAGAGTTAGGCCATGTTATAACGTCTGCGGTTTTTCACAGGAATTTCACCAAAACAATTTAAATATTATATGAGGAGTGAGTAGGGATATGAAAGTAAAAGAAAGAAAGAAAGAAAGAAAGAAAGAAAGAAAGAAAGAAAGAGAATTTCATACGTGAACATGAAAATTTTCCACAAGTTTGGTTTTTCATGGCGAACGAAATAGTTTGCCGCACTGGGTGGGAAAAAAAATTAGCTAACAAATGCCCAAGATCTGTCTGATCCATCTCAAGACTTTCTACTCATCCATGCAAATCTTTTTACCGTGTATTTTTTTTCTAGTGAATTTTCAGGCGATTTGGGGGGCCGGCATTTCACATGCACATAGAAGACGGCAAGACGCTCATGTCTAAATGCAACAGTATGCTTCAGATTTGTATCCATTCATCCATCACCTTTCTTCAAGCCGATTCAATGCAAAGGTGAGAACCGAGAAGGCAGGCAATAATGCAAGGCAGTCATCGTCGTCGACGACGACGACGTTGAGCCGTAGAAAAAAGGGGGCAAAAACAACAGTGGACAATTAAAATCCAAAGGAGAATCTAGTGACATCCACTGTTGAGTGCAGCTGCAGCTGCAGCAGCAGCAAGAGGAGAGGAGAGGAGAGGAGCCAGCAAGAAAGCATGGAAAGCTGTGGTGCACTTTCAGCTTGCAAGAATTTGCAATGGTCAGGGGGTGCCAGGAGGCCAGTATTGCATGGTTCAGTTAAATGGGGAAAGTGCATCGCCTGGCAATGCACAGGCTGTGTGGCATTGAACTTTCTTTCAGGTCCTCACAGCCTTTTTTCAGAATTTTTCTTTCTGGGAGAAGTTTCAGCCTTTTGCAGTGACCGGAAATGCTTGTTGAGTTTGCTGTTTCTGCAGGTAAAAGTTGTAGTAGTAGTAATAATCTTTATGTGAAATGTGCTGATAGAGATAGGCATCACATTCTTGTGTGAAGTTACCTTCCTCAAATGATGTCTGATGACCTTCTAGAAAACAGTGGTACTTCAGTCCATGTCCCTCAGAAGTGTAGCTCATCTCAGTAGTCCATCAAAAAAGCAAGTTAAGCAACTAGACAAAATATTGTTCAGACTATCTTACTCTTAACATATATTTTTGCATTGTTAAGTTGATGACCTTTTGTGGATTAGCTTGAGGTATAGAAATTTGTAGTCTGTGCAGCTAGAAGGGAGGCTTTGCATGAATGTCTTCTTGGATAAGAGCACTTCTGAGGGATCTTTGGCTCGGTTCCCTTGGGAGCATCTACTACTTGTGAAAGAAACTGCATTTTTTCTTCTTCTGAATTTTCTCTGTGCAAGTGCAACCTTGCATTCCATTTCTTTGTCAATTTCTTCTTTTCCCTGTACTTCTCCTTTTCGGGTAGATAGAGTGAGAGAGAATCAGAATAAATCTGCAATGTGTTACGGAGGATCCAGAATTCTTTGGACTGTCCCAGGCTCATAAAGACAATGCGTTCAAGCATCTCATGTCATCAACAGGTGACCTACCTATACAATGCTACCAATCATGCACGCATGGGCTAGTTCTGGGAGATGTCTATGATCTAGAGCTCACCAAAATCTCTTTCCTTGCTTAGGGCCTATTTGGGAAGTTTAACATTCTGAGAAGCAGTTGGTTGGTAGCCAGCTTCTGAGAATCTGGAAAAGCTGGGTTTCCCGACTTCTGGATTCTAGTTCATTTTCTGGATTCTAGAACTACAGCTTCTCAGAATCTGGATCAAAAGCTGGTTTGTTTGGAGGAGCTTCTAATTCTGAGAGAAGCTGCAGCAACTAGAAGCTCCCCCAAACAGGGCCTTAGGTTCATCTAATCGCTTAAGGGATGTTCCTTGGTGTACTTTTTTTTAAAAAATAATTCAATATTAATGGTTGCGTGAAATTTTTTTTAATAAAAAGGCAATGTAGAATTACATCTACCACTTCACCAAAAATCATATTCAAATTCGATCTACACATTGAGAAACGAAAAAGACAAATTAAGATGTGAATAGTACCGATACTATTTGGGATTGCTTATTTGACCCGTTTTGAACGTTAACTACCTATTTGACCTTCCTTTTTTGAGTTTGCTTATTTAACCCTGCTTTTCGAAAATGAACGATCCGTCTGACCCTGTTATGTTAAGGTGAGTTAACGGTGTTAAGTTAGGGATAAATAGTCTATTTTGCCCTTGCTTAGTTATATATTGCTTGTTTGACCCTATTATGTCATACCATATATATGTTCGAATATTTTGACATATTTTTACTAATTTTTACATTTCTTTCACATTAAAGAAAAGTTTGACGGATTTGCCATAAATTTGACAAATTTGAATCATTTTGACAAAATGACTTTAATTTGACTGAATTTTAACAAAGTGGTAGTAGAGTACAGGTATCAATAGCAGCGGCGGCGAAACCGTGGCTATCTAAAAAAAAATCTAAATCTAGAACACGACGGCGGCGGCGGCCAACGCACCGGTGACGGCGATGAAGCTGACGGAGGCGGAGACGGCGCCTGCGGTGCTCTTCCTGACCGCAGCGGGCGTGAGCACGCTGCTGGACAGGGCCATCGCAGCGCCTGCGTCGGCGGGGCTCGGCGCCGCAGCTGACGACTCAGAGGGTGACGAGGGCGGGGACATCGGTGGGGCCGGCGGCGAGGCCATCGTCATCAGTGACGATGTGGGCCTTGGTCGCCGGGAGAGGGGGCAAGGGTGCCATCTTCAACGCGGATCCCTCTGTCCGCTTCCCGCCGCTGCCGCTCCTTCCCTTCACGAGCGGGCACCGACACATGTCCCCTCCGCATGCATCCTGCTGCCGCCACCGCCCCCTACCTCCACAAGCTGGCGCCGGCGCGGATCCACTCTGCGAGCTTCCCTCCGCCCCCGCCCCCGCCCCCTACCTCCACGAGCCGGCGCTACCGCGGGTTCCCTGCCGACACCGAGCACCGCCGCCGCCCCCTACCTCCACGAGCTGGCGCCGACGCGGGTTCCCTGCCGACACCGAGTGCCGCCGCCACAACTCGCCGGCACGCGAGACATAGAACCGGGCGTGGATAGGGTTAGGGATGGAATGGTTTCCTCGAGGGTATTTTGGACATTACGATTTTTAATTATATTTGTTTCTTTTAACTCAAACCTTAGCGTTGTAATGAAAACAGGGTCAGACGGATCGTTTGTTTTCGAAAAACAGTATCAAATAAGCAAACTCAAAAAAAGAGGATCAAAATGATAGTTAGCCTTGAAAACGGAATCAAATAAGCAATTGTCCCATACTATTTATACGTTGGATTTAGGGATGTTGTCAAAAAGAAGTTTAAAGATTTTCTAACAACAGTTTAGAAAATGTTTAAACAAACGAGGGGATGTCCCTTCCTGAGTTTAGAAAACTTTCCCGCTTCTGTCCACGGCAGATTTGTCTCTTTTCTCCACCAAACAGACAGTGTTTACATCAGTAGAAAGCTCAAGCTAACTAGACCACTGCTGCTGGTGTACTAATGACACACACACACTCTTGGCTGCTGTTTGCAACAGGGTTACCGCGCTAATCCCGGTGTTTTTCTGCTGAGACAGATGCCGTTGCTGTGGCTGAGTGAACGTCTGGTTGCCACTGGGGAAGAAGAGAGAAGCTTTGATGTGATAGAGCACAGTGCCCAATCCTCCATGGTGTTATTGGCGTTGTCTCGTGAATTCGTCATCTGTTGGAGTAGTTTTTTTGCACCACATTTTTGGGTGTTTAGATGGGACTAAAACTTTTTAGCCCATGTCATATCGGATGTTTGGACGCTAATTTAGAGTATTAAACATAGACTAATAAAAAAACTAATTTCATAAATGAGAGCTAATCCGCGAGACAATTTTTTTAAGCCTAATTAATCCATAATTATCAAAAGTTTACTGTAGCATCACATTGTCAAAATCATGGCGTAATTAGACTCAAAAGATTCGTCTCGCGAATTAGTCCAAGCTTATGGAATGAGTTTTGCAATTAGTATATGTTTAATACTCTAAATTAGTGTCTAAACATCCGATGTGACAGAGACTTAGAATAAGTCCCTGGAAACCAAACAGCCCCTTTTGTCTGAAAAACGACGAGGTCTTCATGAGGCATCTTTGGAGGAGGAGCTTCAGGTCTTTGCTACTGTACTACCATGGGAGTCATATACATGTAATGATGATGCCATGGACATATATATAATCTTATTAGGAGTAGAAGAGAATCGTCCAAGACTGGAGATAATGGCAATGTATTGCTGGAGTAATCTGCATTGCAAGTGTACACACACATCCTTCTCTGGGACCAAGCACAGACCAATCCTGAGTTTTTTCTGCAATATGCCAATTGCCAAGTGCAGTCTGGTCTACTGCCCGATCGGAGGAATTTTACAAATATTTTTCCGTGGTTTTTATATGAATCAGTTCAATTCCCGTCGCAGCCCAAGATAGAAAAAGAGAGAAGAACTTCTGCAGTTCCAAAGAGGCCTGAACAAACTCAAGTCGCATCACAAACTTCCATCGTTCCAGTACATGTAGGCTGTGTTTAGTTCACACTAAATCTGGAAGTTTGGTTAAAATTGGAACGATGTAACGGAAAAGTTAGAGTTTGTGTATGTAGGAAAGTTTTGATGTGATGGAAAAGTTGTAAGTTTGAAGAATTATTTTGGAACTAAACACTGCGGTATTTTTCTACTTTCTACTCTGTTTTTTTCCAAACCTATATGTGCATATGAATCACTGCAATGCAAAGATACTACTACTCCTATATATCAGTATAAAAAGTGCAATTCGGTGCAGGATTTGTCAAGGCAGGTATGGGCAGGGATTGAAGGGGGTTTGTGTAGGACGTCCATGCCAAAAGGAAGGGACTTGCAGCAATTGCAACAATGGCCTTTGTCCTGCTCCTCCTGCAGAAAGAGGCAGGGAAAAGGCGACACAACAGCACTAGCTGGTGTCACGTGATCATCTCTGGAGATTTTCCTCTCTCTTCGCCTGGCGATTGGTTAGCACATTGGCAAAGGTAGTATCTATCAACCGGTCGTTTTGACCAAAAGGAAGGTTGGTCCACTCAGCTTTATGCTCACATAATTCCTTTCTTTTCTTTTTCCACTACTGTTGGATGATTGTTTCTTTTCTTTAGTAGAGTCGTTCTGAGTTTTTCTTTTGAAGTACTACTACTTTGTTGAGAGATAAATTTTATAAAATTATAGATTTTGTAGTTTGTTTCGATATGCTTGGGGAAAGTGTTTCATAAAAAGAAAACCCCTCATACACATTGGCCATCATTTTTTTATATATAGTTTGTTTTGCACGAGCGTTTCTATTATATACGCATGCGTTGTAGCTGTCTTCTCGGAGCAAATGGCGTGGTGGTTGGTATCATGTGATCGTACCTATGTAACCTTGCTACCACAAGGTCTTATTTTGTCGTCTTTGACACCCCAGCAACTGCGTGCTACCACGAAGTTCTTTTACGTTGTCTTTGTCATCTCACAACTGGGTATAATGTTGCTACCACAAAGGTTTTCTTTTGTCGTCTTTGCCATCTTGCAGTAGTTAATGAAGTTTAAGATAAAATGATGCCAAAAAGGTTTATGCCGGGCCCATCAATACGACTATATTCTTAACATTTAGTTGTAATGGAAGTGTCTGACTTAAAACTAGGGTTTTCGGAAACATTTTGCCTTCAAACACACAGTTACAATATGAAAAAAAAAACCATGTATTTTCTTATATACACATTTTCACGTAAAAAAAGGTTTGGTCCTTTTCTCACATTTGGTTATAGCTTTCAAACTATCACTTTTTTGAGGAATATAAAACCTTTACTGCATGGGCATAAAAAATAACATAAGCATTCTTTTCTGGGACCTTTTCCTGACTGTACTTCGAATTTCTAAAACCATTTAATTTTCATGTACCTTTAGGTCAATCTTCCGCTCATTTTCCATCAGTAACTTGCACGGGCTTAATCATCATTCAACTACTAAGGGTCCATATCCATATCCATGTGAATATCAATCATTTGCAATTAGTTTTAGCACCTTAATCAAGGGGTATTGCACTCATTATTTGTAGGTATTCCGTACAGAACAATATTGTACATGTCGACCCTATCAAGCTTATGGACCGGTAGAATTGTTCTTCTATCAAACAAAGCTAGTATTATATATGTGTTCAATGATCAAAACCACTAAGAGCAAAGCTGTGGGCATAATTTATGAAGAAAATGAAATTCACATGCCGTTTGTTCAATTATATTGTCTAGATGCTTATCTCAAAAAAAAAATCTAGAGATGCCATGCTCACAAACTTGGCATGTTTCAAAGCATAATGGCATTTCAAAAAATATATATATTTCAAAGCATAAAGGTCAAATCACGTGCAAAATTTGATGCAATATATTAGATGGGATCAATCATCTGATTAGTTTACAAAACTAACAAAAGTATAGAATACCTCACCTACATCCATGCTTGCATGTCAAACTTGGCATGCAGTAGAAAAATATGGACTAAACTATATATTATTATTGTTCTAGAATTGCTGCCGCCGCCATTTCATCTAACGTGTTGTGGTAGGGCATTTGGCACTGCAGAGGAAACAGACATGGCAATTGAAGATAATTGGGAACAACTATCTGTCCAAAGAGAAGGAAAAAAAAAAACTACATGGATTATATGATTGTTCGAGAATTAATGTTGCCT